TGCGCTATCCTCGAAGCTCTGCTGCAAGCCTGAAGTTAAAGCTTAATCGCTTGTAGCAACACACAGCGAGACACATTTTGTGAAAATCATGACTAAATTACCCAAGGCCACCAGCACACGACACTCTGAGATAAGAAAACTCAGAGCTAGGCACCAGGCATGCACGCGCCTGTGGTCTCAGCTACTTGAGAGGCTGAGGCAGGATATCATTTGAGCCCGGGAGTGTAAGGCTAGCCTGGGCAACACAGCGAGACCATCACACACACACACACACACACACATACACAAAACAAAAAAACCTCTTTGGATCCCAGTAACACTCCCACTCTGTGCCTGATCTAAACTGCCCATCCCCTGAGAAAGGGGCCCTACCAATGGGAAGCACTATCCCTGAGCCCGAATGGTAAACGCAGGCTGCATCATCAGTGCTTAATATCCATAATCAACAACATGCAATTCCAAATGAACTAGGGGGAAATTATGTCCAAAGCTACATTATTACACCTAAATGCGCATCAGCCCTCCCTAGTTCTCCCCTTGCTCCCTCGTGCTCCCTGGACCCTCAGAGCAGCACACCTGAGGAAGGGTAGCGAGAGCGCTCGAAGTCATCACGTCCCGCTTACCCGAAGCTCATTCCTGAAAGCGAGCTTCCTGCTAGTACACTTCCAAACTACCCGTGAAAACTAATTTTGGTTCTGAAACTCATAAAGTTCCGAGTACACTTCATGAAGAAAATCTCCCACAGGTTGATGCCTGAAGCAGTGCTTTTGAAAAGACAGTATCAGGCACTGGGGATGAGCTCAGTGGCAGCACCCTTGCCTAGCAGGCACAAGGATTCGGGTTCACTCCCCAGCACCACAAGAGAAAATAACGAAAACCACAATGACAGCAATATACTTTCTTTAAAGCACTAACATTATTGATGTCCAACACTCTCACTCCAACCTCTTTTGTTTTGGAGACAGGGTCTCTCTATGTAGTTCAGGCGCTGAACTAACGCACTGCGTAGCCCAGGCTGGCCTCAAACTCGAGGTGATCCTCCTGCCCCAGCCTCCCAAGTGCTGAGATTACAGGCAAGCTCTTTATATTTTTACTAACAGGTACAAAACCAAGGCTGAAGGCAGAGCTTCCTTGCCGCTGCCTGCTATGCTGTGCCTAGGGAACAGCTATGTGAAGGTTTTCAGGGGTCGAAGCCGGCAGCTGCCTGTCTGTTACAAAAGGAACTAAGACCCCTTACTCTTTGCTCTCTGACCGCTTGCCAAGAAAGGAAACATGATTGAAGCAAAGTTAAAACTTAACCTACTGTTTCCAGTAACTTTGCTTAAGAATAGGAAGGAGGGGATCCATGACGGGGTGAAGCCACAGCCTACCATAAGTTTTTACATTACATGGAAATTTTATTAATTTATGTTGTTTTGCTTCCTATCTCAGCTTCTTTTCAAGTCTTCCACACAAGTCCCTTACAGTTTCTTGTCTTATCAAGCGACTCGTGTAACCTGAGGCTCCATGAGGGACAGGTGCTAGGAGGACGAGTACAAGACAGTACCTCACCCAGGCAACTCAGTCAGGAGGAAAAGAAGACAAAATAAAACAGACCAGTGTAATACAATATGATAATACATTATCTGAACTACCTCCCACCAGCCTCCTCTTATGAGGGGATAGCACAATTCGAAAGCAAGTACCTGAAAATTCCCTGAAGAAATTTCACTGACAACCAAATGAAGTTTAAAAGTTGAAGCAATTAGGGCAGCAGGACAGGGGCACAGCTCAGTGGCAGAGCACTTGTCTAGGTTCTGGGTTCGATCCCCAGTACCTCAAAGAAAAAAAAAGAAAAAGAAGTGTGATTAAAAAGCCAGGAGTGGTGGCTGAAGCCTATAATCACAGCACTCTGGGAGGCTCAGTCAGGAGGATTCCAAGTTTGAGCCCTGACTGGGCGATGTAGCACTTAGCAAGTCACTCAGAAAGGAAGAAAGGGCTAAGGATGTAGCTCTGTTCAGTGGGGTGCACCCTGGTCACAGATGGGAAGATCCCTGCCTAAAGATTAAAATAACACCCATTTTACCATATCCTGCCCCCACAGGTGCGAAGGAAAATGGACCTAATGATCCCCACACCAGCGGGAGGAGAAGGCCTGAAATCTGCCTATGACCCTGCCTGAGATACAGCACATCTAGCAAGGGTCCATTCTAGTTCCAGCTGCTATTTCCATTTCCTCTGAATAAGGTCTGTGTACTAGGTAAGTCCATAGAACTCTCTAGTTAGTCACCAGGGTACATCTGGGCCTCCACCAGTTATAGACAGCAAACCTCAGCTTCTCTGAGTCTCAAATTCCTTTAAAAAAATGGTTGGTTTCAGAAATTAAATAGTTTATGAGCCGGGGATTTAGCTCACTTAGCTCAGTGACACCATGCCTGCCTTGAAAGTGCAAGGTCCTGAGCTCCGTCCCCAGTGGGGGGGGGGGGGGGAACGGCTAGTTTACACAAAATGCTTAGGGTACAGTAAGAAACCAGTGAGGAGGAGGTCAACGACAGGAGGGCCTGGTGGTTACCAACAGAAGACTGGCAGGTCCCAAAATAGAAAGCAATAACTTACACAGAGCTTATCATTCTGTTATTGCAGCTGATAGTGATCTATGCTTACTTCATTTGCATCCATCCTATCTCACTGTCCCTAGAGAGCAGCTACTTCATAAACCTCGACTAGATGATAATTGCTCAGAGCTTTTGTTTTTAAGATCCCCAACAGCCACAATTTTATAGCAGCTGAAGGAACATGTTCTTGCCCCTCTGCCTGCCCAAGGAGGAATCCTAAGAAAGGAACTAGAACTCCACCACCCAAAAAAAGACTCCCCCGGAATAGAGCCCTCTACCTTACCCATGTAACAAAGAAATCAGCAGTATTACAGGGGAGGCAAACAAGGGGGGAAAACTGCACAACCCATACTTATTTTTCATCTTTTTTTCACCCCCAAATCAAAATGAGGTGCAAAATTTTTAAATTACAAAATTAGACATTTACTTAGCACCCCTTTCCATCAATTTCTGAAAGAACCGCTGGAGGTGGGAGATAAATCTTCCATCTTACCAAAGGCTCTATTCTCCACACCAATCAAAACAATGCCTCACTCCGTTCGTTCAGAGCAGCAGTGCAGACCGGCTAACTTCCATGCTCCAGGCAGCCACACAAAGCCCACATCTAAGGCCGGACCGAGTCATCATCACCCAGCCACCCAGAACCTACCTTCAAACTGCCTTTGTACTCCCTCCTCTCTCCCCCAAAGGCTGAGTGGGAAACCCACACTCGGCAGCAACGCAACCGAGCCTCCCAGACCCACCAGGACATCTCCCGATGCCGCCGAGGGCCAGGCAGAGACCCTCAAAGGGAAATCTGAAAACCATTAAATGGAGACTACAGCCCAGCACACTGTACACACGGCTTTTTCTTTCCTTTTAACTGACTTGTTATAATTATGAGATCCAGCCATCCAAATGTTCCTGTAGCCCTTGCCTAAATTATATTGAAAGAAGAAACAAAGTTCTGTTTCCTCCTGAAGCCACAACCTCACAAGGATGAAATCATCTTTCAAGAAATGCTCTCATGCTACCAGGGAAATCCAAGGAAGCAATCTAGTTGAGACAGAACCAGGCGGGGGGGGGGGGGGGGGGGGCAAGATCAGAAGGTTACGAAAGAGACACACCACCTTAAAGCTAAGGGGCGGCTTACACACGAAGCCTGGTCTACTCACAATTAGGGCAGTGTCTCTTCCGGCTATAATTTTCAGACGGATTCAAATTTTCAAAGGAGGAAGAGAACACCCTAGTTTTCAGCGACTGATGAGTTGGCTATATAATTATCTAGAATCAGTACTTTTGCAAAAATGTATTTACAGAAATGAAAATCAAACAAATCTTAAGATTAAATGTAAGCCACGACAGCACTGCCTTCAGCTCTAACAGACTTACGATTTGTGGTAAATCAAACAAAAAGCTCACCTCCAATAAAACAACTTCTTGGTTAGTTTAAAAATAAAAATTCCCCTCATACTTTCTCAAATGCATGTTAAACATGAAAGTTTGTGTGTTTTCGCTCAGCCTAACATTCAACCCATGGCCTTTTCAGACCACAAGGCTGGAAATATTTTCAAGTGTGCGGCCACTTCACCCAGGTGAGGAAAAAGCGCAATCAGAATTTCTCCTCCCTTTAAGCACAGAAAGCAAATGCCGCTGGATGTGCAAACGGGACGTGCGATGCGCCTGCACACCTACACCTCGGTCGGTCGTCAGAGGTGGCTCCGGGAGGACAGGGGTGGCAGTTCCGTCTACATAGACCCACTTGTTTTCTCCTCCGAAGCAGAGCAGGGCGGCTCCCACCCACTGCACCTGGAGAAGTGGAAGAGGGATCCACCCAGACGCGGCAGGGCAGAAACCGATCTGGGCCGAGCAGAGCAAACTCGGGGGGGGGGGAAGAGGCACTGCTGTACCATTCAAGCTGCCAAGTGCCCTGCAACTTTGCACTTCCACAAAGCAGTGGTAAAAGGAAAACAAGTAAGTTCTGAAACATATGAAGAGCCGTCTGCATAACGAGCTACTGACCCGGACAAATTGCTTTCCCAACCCACACACAACATGCCAAAAAACCAACTTTTGATTTGGTCCGTGAAGACAAAATTGTGTTCGTTTAATCCAGAAAAAAAATATAACATCAAAGAATACATTTCTGCAACTTCTCTTACTCCTCTGGTTCTATTCCGCTCCCGGTATTAGACTGAGAAGTTTTTTAGGTCTTGAATATTTCACCTCTTTTAAAATAACAAAACACCGAAATTCCCCCAGAGTATTCAAACTAGAAAGAAAAAAATAATGGCATCACCAAAACAGACTCACTCCCGTTTTTAAATTCCCTCTAGTTACGGTCAGACAAAAATTCGACTTCACTTTTCCTCCTCTGCCCATCTGTACGCCCATAATAAATAAAATAAAAATTAAAAAGGCACACACCTTGAATGTGGACTCCTAAAAACCAGTCCTGTGGGCAAGAGACCCTAGGCGTAGCCAATGTGCTGAGGAAGGCAAATCCAGCCAGGCAGTTGATTTTCGCCACCGCTTCTCCTTTCAGGATCTTTCCTGCTCTTCTTTCTCTCCCTCTCCCTCTCTCTCTTTTTCTCCCCTCAGATCCAACACCTAAAATGGAAGTTGCACCCAGCCAAAGGCAAGAGAGCCTGGGTGGTGACAAACTGATCTGGCAGCCCTACCCCCTCGCTTTCCTATGTGATGTCAGCCCCTGCGAGCTTCCAATAGGAGCCAGGCATAAATCAGGGAGCTGACTGTATCCAATAGGAAACTTTATTGTAGGAAATTAAAAAAAAGAGAGAGGAGGAGAGATCGCGACAGGAGGAAGTTGTATATATACATTTATATTTAAAGCCAGGACTGTACAATCTCTGGGGGATCGCTGCAGAGCAGTGGGGTGGGTGCGCGGGGACAGGGCTTTTCAGAATGGGCCTCCTAAGCTTGGCTTCTCTTTGATGGGGCTCCTGCTGCTTCTCCTGCCCGGCTGGGTGGGGAAACAGAAAGAGCTGATTTATTTGTCTGCTGCTGTTCAGGTTTGTTGCTTTCTACCCAGAGCATTTTCCCAAAGGAAGACAGAAAAGGAAGGAGAGAGACTCTGGAAACGGGACTCCCGCCTGTTACTGGGACGGTGGGGAGAATCCAAGGTAAACTCTCATCGTCAGTGCATCAGAGCTCAGTAGGGAAGAAATGCATGGACCTGTCACTAGCTTTAGTCTCTCTCTTCCCAACTACAAGGAGGAGAATCCACGGGACTGTTGAAGAAAATCACTGTTTCCCATTTGTCCCCAAAGCAAGAGACTGTGGATTTATGGGACAGAGAAAATGCAATCCAATAAACAAGCAATCGATTTGGAGCAGATAATAGCATAGGTACAATAAGTCTTACATCTGAAGACTTGATTGCTTTGTCAACTCAGGCTTAAGACTATCTGGCTCATACATTTTCTGCACACAGGTCACCTAGATAAAGAAGTGCTGGGGTATTCTTTTTCTGAGTTAAGAATTATTTTAATATGTTCTTAAACTGTCAGACCATAAAGGAGAGGGGCTGGAATTTTTTACCTGCTGACAAACACCAGTATTTTATAGTTACTCACTGATCACTGAGAATCTAAAACCTATCTTTCTGCCACATGACCCTTCATGAAGCTTTCGGAGTCCAGAGCAGTGGTTGAGAGCACAGCTCTGTGGGCAGACAGCCTGGCTTCCAACTCCACCTCTGTAAGTCACTGACTCGAGTACAAATACTGCTGTGCACCCTTGGCCACATTATATAACCTCTCTGACCCTCTGTTTTCTTACCTGTGAAGTAAGCTAATAACTGCATCTCTATTACCAGACTGTTGTAGCTGGGTGCAGTGCACAGGCCTGTAATCCTGGCAGTCGGGGAGCCTGAGGTAGAAGGATTGCAAGTTCAAGGCAGCCTGCACAACTAAATAACTTAGTGACACTCCACCTCAAAATAACAAAACAAGGGCTAGGAAGTTAGCTCAGTGGTACAGCACTTGGTTAGCATGCATGAGACCCTGCATTCAATCCCCAGTACTGCAAAAAGAGAAAAAGTAAGAAAGAAATCAAATAATAACAAATGCTGGTGAGGCTTCTAGCAAGGCTTCTGAGCAAAAGGAACCTTTCCAACCTTTGGTGAGACTGTAAACTAGTGCTATCTCCATGGAAACCAGTGTGGAGAGTCCTCAAAAAACTAAAATTAGAAACTCTATTTGGCCCAGCCATTCCCCTTCTACGTATCTTTCCAAGAGAATTAAAGACATCATATCACAGTGAACCATGCACACCTTTGTTCATAGCAGCACCACTCATAACAGCTAAATCTTGGAAGCAGCCTGTGTGCCCATCAGCAGGTGAATGGATAAAGAAACTATTGTTTACACACTACGGAGTACTACTCTGTCATAAAAAGGATAAACTTGAGTCATTTGTAGGAAAACGGGTACACCTTAAGACCACACTGTTAAGCGAAATAAATCAGACACACAAGCTTAAATATTGCATAGTTTCTCTTACATGAGAAAGTATAAATACATTAAAGAGCAAAATAAAAGACAGACAATAGGAAACAGAGATAGATCTTTTCCAAAAGGGAAGGAACCAAGAATGGAGGGAAGAGAAGGGGACATAAAATGAATTAAGTTGTGCTACGTACATGCACCAAATCTTCACAATTAATGTAATCTTTATGTACTACAAACAAGTACTAATAAAAATAAAAATTGAAAAAGGCAAAAGTGAATGCCAGATTTGTGAAATCAGCACAAGAAATGCTTGCTGATTTCACTGGTTCCTAGAGCCATGTTCCAGAATAGTCTATGATTTTCTAGAGGTAGATTAGGCTTGTTTACTTAACATGACTACTCACAACTGGCAAGTATTTTGCCTTTTTCTTGAGTGAGTGAATGTGTGTGTGTACTTCTGCCTGTCCTACCAGGAGGTAAGCGCGCTCCATGATGCCATGCACAGTGCCTTTCTTACACACGGTATCTCCCCAGAGCTTGCCCTTATGTTTCATGTTCAGCAACGGCTGAGTGGGTGAATGAAGATGCTGCCTAGTCGTTACATAAGCCTGGACAGGAATCTGTGCATAACACTCAGAAGCAAACTGTATAAATCAAAGACACAGCAGCAATTAAAAAGATGTTGAGGGCCGGGGATGTAGCTCAGTGGCACCATGCCTGCCTGGCAAGTGCAAGGTCCTGAGTTCAATTCCCAGTACAGAAAAAAAAGATGTTAAAATTTAACTGAAAAAAAAATTTAACTGTACCTGAAACATTCTCCAAATAAAGCATTACAATCATTAATTGTTTGAGAGACAAACTATTTATACTCAGTTAATTGGAAATAAAATAAAAGGACTCGTCCCACAGTGTTATTCTGAGTACCCACTGTGAGCCAGGAGCTCTACTAAATGGCAGGGATAAGACAGACGAACTTCCTGTTCCCATAAAAGCTTATATCCAAGGTACAGTAAATAGAATAGGGGTGATGGTGTATCCCAGTGGTATGCTAGAGGCCCTAGGTTCAATCCCTAGCACCAAAATATAAATAAAATAAAGACATATGCAAATGGCTGGGTGGTTGCTCTAGACTGAATGTCAGGGACAGACTGCAAAGATGACAATTAAATTGAATTCAAAACACTAAGAAGCAGGGCCGGGGATTTAGCTCAGTGGTTCCGGCCCCTTCCTCGTAAGCACAAAGACCCGAGTTCGATGCCCCCCCCCCGTACCACAAACAAATAAACAAAAACCCCCCAAAACAGTAAGAAGCAGCTGTGAGAAGATATTATCAGCAATGACCCCAAGGTATGGGGCTGAATCACACTGGACCCAGTAGAGGGCACTGGAAATGAGGATGGAGGGATGGCCATTTATCATTCCCTAAAGAAATCCAACTAACACAAGAAATGATGTTAGATTTTTTTAAAATTGAGTCCTCTACTTCTTTGAAAATTAATATAAAGCCAGGGTGGTGGCTCAGCATGCGGGAGGCTGAGGCCAGAGAATGGGAATGCAAAGACAGCCTGACTTATACAATGAGTTCAAGGCCAGCCTGGACTATACTATAAAACCCAGTCTCAAAAGCCAAACCAAAGAATGCATTTAAACCCGCTGGAAAGATACTGATGAGGGACTATCATATCCATAACCTCCTCTTGCCCCCACAGGACCATCTGCGGTGAGAATCAGGATACAAGAAGGGAGCTACGGGGCTTATTCTCAGATAGACAAAAGCCTGTGGGCTTGTTTGTGTGATACAAGGCTTCACATCGACCTATATCCCCGGCCCTTTTTTAGCTTTTATTTTGAGACAGAGTCTTGCTAAGTTGCCCGGACTGGACTCAAACCTGTGAACTTGTGATCTTCCTACGTCAGCCACCTAAAGTGTTAAGATTACAAGTGTGCCCCAGGAAACCAGCTCCCTGGGGATTTTAAATAGAAAAGTGACACCACCTAAATCACAATTTGAAAGAGCTAGTAAGTAGATTTCTGCAACAAATGAATTAAAGAGGACACAAGAGTAAAAGCAAGACGAGTTTGAAGGCTATTATACCAGTCAAGCTGCAGTGACAGGGAGTCGGAATCAGGTGCCATCGTAATGGGGGAAGTTAATAGATAGGTATTAAACCAGACACGGTGGTACACACTTACAATCCCAGCACTTTGAGAGGCTGAGGCAGAAGGATCACAAATTTAAGTCTTGCCTGATCAACTTAAGAGTGATCTTCTCTCAAAAAAAGAAAGATGTTTTAGACATACAGATGTTTTCTGTTTTGTTTCTCTTTTACTTGTTCCCATGGAACATTACATTCAGTGCTCAGTCTTAAAACCCTCAAAAGTTTAACTTCTCCACCCATAACCATAACCACATACAAACACAGAAAAACAAAATACCATAAAATGGTGAAAGATAAGGTAAGAACTGAGGGCAAAAAACTGTTTAAAAAAGAAATAGGAAGCTGCAGATAGTATACACGTCTGTAATTCCCGCTACTCAGGAGGCTCAGGCAAGAGGATCACAAGTTCATGACCAGCCTGTGCAACTCAGTAAGGCTTTGACTCAAAATAAAGTTTAAAGGGCAAAGCACATAGTTCAGTCATCCCTGGGTTCAACCCCAACCCAAAATAAATAAAAAATAAAATAAAATAAAATGATCGCATAGGACAGAGTGCTGTGCTATGATGATACCAGTTCTAAAACTATAAATACCAAAAAGAAATGAAAAAAAAATTAACTTCAAAAAACACTAGCTATCTGTCCAAAGGAAAACAAAGTATCTTTACTCCTTCCCACCCTCTGGTGGCTACACATCCAAAGGTGCCCTTCTTGTTGTTTTTTGTTTGTCAGTATTCAGGATTGAACACAAGAGCTTCACACTGAGCTACATCTCAGCTCTCTTTTTATTTTTTTAGCTTGAGACTAAACCAAAGTTGCCTAGGCTGGGCTTGAACTTGTAATCCTTCTGCCATGACAGATGTGAAACACCACCCCCAGCTCCAAGTTTGTTACTCCTAAAGCCCTGAGGAGAAGGGCCATTTATCATTCCATTTAGAAATTCCACAAACGCAAGAAATAGTGTTAAATTTTTTAAAAGAAAAGAACCTAATCCAAGAAGTGAGTCTTCTGTACCTCCTGACAATCAATTTAATCCTGGTG